TTCCTCAGAATTTGAATACAGAGGAGATCCGTATGTTGAATCCTATTATAAATTGTCTTGCGCCATTTTCGAAGAAAGAGGAATAATACGTTTTTCAGTTTGAGTTTTATATAGGATTGTATAACCACCCTCTGCACACCCACCTTGAAAATTCTAACCAGACCGTGTAGTTCGGTAGGAGGTACGCTCTGACAGTAAGGTCGTCCCATTGAAATCCAATTCTATTTTTAGGCGGCAAATCGTTTCTGGATCTTGAGGGTTGCAAGGGGGGAGGGGTGGGATGTAAAGAAGCTTTTACTATCAACAAATATGCCAAAAGTATCAATGGGCTCTTAAGAGGGATGAAAACAGGGTGGTCCCGCGTTCTTGTTAGATTAATCATTGTAGTGGCGGGGGGATATGAAGTAAGAAATATTAATGATATTTTTACGACAGCAGATATCAACTGTGACTATTTCATTGCACGACGGAAGAGCAAAAAGCTATATAATTATAACGAATCAAGTAATTGAAAAATGATTCCATATAATACCTATATTCATTAAAGAATGTAAGAAGAGATGATTATCTTAGCATTCCGGGTTTGTCAGGATACCCAATGACGGTATGGCACAATGGGGGGAAAAAATGGCAATCTCTTTAAACGTCATTGCAATCTAGAAAGAACTGCAATTTAAAAAAATAATTGCAATTATTAAAACTTATCGTATTTGTTGAGAAAATAAAAAAAATAAAACATTCGCAACAACTCTTTCCTGTATGGGTTGCAAATGATTTAAATTGGAGGTTATATTTTTTTTAATTTTAACCACATCCAATTACACCACCCCTTATGTTATCCGCATTCCCGCGTCCCCTTTTATTTACCCTTTCCATTTAATTAATTTCCATAATTCGTCTTGATGTATGCGCGTACTTGTATAGAGTTATTCAATAGGAACGGACCACCTGAAGTTAGCGCGCCTGTTTGAGTCTTATAGTAAAGACACGTTCAGGTGATCCGTTTGGGCTGAATAACCTATTATACATATGTATACATCATGTTTTTTTGTTTTTTAATGAAAATTCTGCAATTAGCTAATGCTTACTTGAGACGCAGAAATCTACCAACCCTTCATGCAACCCTTATAAGAGATATGTTGTACATATGTTAGTTACATGTACTTCGAGTGATCCTACCCTATTTCCACTCACCCACCCGTAACACCAGCATTTAATCTCACCGTAGTCGGCCGTTTTTATTAATTACGTACGTTTAATTACAACCTGTCTAAGGGTTAAGAGTGGAAAGGATGAGGTAGCTACTGAGATACTCTGCAAGTAGATGAACATGATTCTACCCGATTTTGGCGGCCACAAAAATCCTATTTATTTTTCTTCGCTACTTAAATTTACACAGAAAAATCATCCCTTACAGAAATTGCAGTATTCACTCCTATACCTATATATGGGAATTAAACGGTGCATCGAAGTCACATAAGTCACGATAAATGATGTTCAGGAGAATCGCATTCCTTTCCATAATTTACGTTAACACCCATCCATCGGCATTTGCATATTCTTAGAGGGGGTAAATACCGATGCAAATTTGCCGCAATTAGTAAAATGAATTTCTAATAAATTTTGGAAATTTCTAAATTGGCCGTCGTACATTTACCTATACAAAAAGGATAAAGTAAGAATTAAAAAATCAAATGAAGGGAACAAACAGAATAATTTTCAACCCTTAATTTACCCATTAATTCATTCTCCATAACCTTGAAAATTCTCTAGGGGTAATTCCTGAAAATACCCTTAATCTCAGTAAAGCTCATAACACCATCCCTCGCGTGTTCCCTTTAGGGTGGTTGTATGGTTATTTAAAGATTTACAATGAGGTACGTCTCCCAATCGATACTGCCGGCCATAGCATCTATAGTTTATAGGGATATAGTTATATGCGGTTGGTATTGCATAGAAAGTGAGATTAAACGGTTATTGTTAAACAGCGCCACGTTTATCTTGCGTCGCAGATACACTCTGTATAATATGGTGGGATATATGGTACGAGATAGAGCTCGGTCTAACCTAACCCGTACTATAGGGGTGTACCCGCAATATTTTACAGTTTTATGTGAACAGATATTTAGGAGTGCTACCGTGCTTAAAATATGGTTACACTGCGGGAGCTGTACACAGGATTCCATATAATACGTTATAATAATGGGATAGCCTGATATCATTGAGAACACTAGTAGTAATGGTAGCGATAGATTTGGATACTGGTATGAACCCAAAACATACAAATTTATCATAAGTAATAGCGTTTTACATATCCTTGTATTTTACGTATTATATTTTCTGTCACGAACAAATATGACACGCTCGAAATAAGGTGAATCACGAAATATATGGAAATAACAGAAAAATCGTCTTTCTTGAAATTATTATTACACACATATTTACTTCCACAAAAGAGACAACAGATCTGGTAATCGACGTGGACTGGTTGTTCAATTGCATACGAAGTGCATTCATGCAAACTGCATATGTGAATACGGTAATGGATAATATGTATTTATTCGACTGTATTATTAAACAGTTCGAGTTGAGCGGATTGGTCGTATTACTATTTAGGTAAAAATTTTTAAGAATTAGCCAAATAATACAATTGGAATGCCATAGATCTTAATGACTATTTTTTACATGTTCTTTTTAAACAATTTTTCTTTTATCCTATATACATACATTTCGATTTCAACACTTGCTACCAGTGACAGCAGCAGTGGCAACGCTTCAGAGGAATTGCACACTATCTTGATTGTATTTTTTTTTTCAGCTCCTACAGGAAAAGACATATCTACTCGTATTTTGACTAGTCCGATTCAATTTACCTTCTTAATGGCATTTTTCCTGCTCCTGCTATAGGAGCTAGAACTAAGCAGTCATTAAACTAGTTTAACCCGCTTCAATCTTTTTAAGTGTGTTCCATATATTTGCAAGCGATTACGATAAGTAGCATTGGCTCTGATAGTCCTTAGTAATCCAGCACTTTCTATTCCTTCTCTCCGCTTCCTGTATTCAATACAAAGTGGACTCATAAATATTTTCAATTGTTTCACAGAATTGAAAGTATCTTCAGCCGTGAAAACGTGAAGGAAGTTGGATTATTTAAAAAGTGGAAAAAAAGTGAAAGATTTCAAATTGAAAAAGTCATTACGAAGAAGTGAAACTGGTATATTTTGTATTTCAGTTTTATTTGCGCTGTATTGTTGGTACCAATCTGTATGATTTTACCTGTAGTAACTTTTGTGTTTATTAACTAACTTGCGCATTTTACTTTATACAGGCCAACCACGAGACTCAATATCAAGTTACAGATTAAATTAATAATTCCTCGTGGTAAAGAAACGAGGTTAAAGTTCAAACTTCGCTCAGGGACTTTAATACTAATAGTAACCCCATTAGAGCTTCCTAGAGAACTCGAGATTTCTCCATTTCGCAGTTACCTATTGCAGCTGATATTCTTCATCTTCTTTCGCTTTTTGTCCTTTTTTTTATTGTACCCTCTTCCATCTCTCTATCTTCCTTATACTTTTTACTTGCCATTCGTTCTACCAATTTCGGAGTTTTCATCAGGGACGCGACAGGTTACAGCTGCTGCACCGCGTTGAATTTTTTTTCTTTGTCCCAATCTCTGCACGTCGCCACTCCTTTGTGGTTCCTACAGCCGCGCAGGTCGCCCAGTTTAAGATCTCGCGGGACTAGAAGCCGATTGCATTTACAGGATGAAGGAGCAAAATGCAATTGCGACCACGCTGAACAGACTCTAGCGGGACTCAACAGAGATAAGATAGAATTCACAAGTGCAACTTCCAATTATTACCAAAGTTCATTTTCCGGCAGAGGGGATACCATTACAATTGGATCTTATAAAATTCGAACCCCCTAAGTTACCAAGTCCTTTCCCACTTCGTGAGCTTTAGGTCTGTGATTTTGATTTTCCCTTTCTATTTTTATAAGTGAGTGATACGGGTGCTTCTTTAGCCTTTGTACCTGTAATTCTATATTAATCGAATACTGAGAAGGGAAGTAGCGGGTAAAATAGGTGAAGCCTTTATACTACTTCTCAAATGACTAATTCAGAACCTAACATTTGCAACTTTAGATATCCTAAGCTCACATCACAGAGGTAAATTCCTGTATTAATTAACACAGTTTTTCCAAGTAATGCTTAAGAAATAACTAGAGTACTTATTTGTTCAATGTTCTTCTAGACTTTGCTAGGTTAGACCTGTGAACTGAATAATTAATTATGCATACGTCATTATCTTTTTTCTTACCCCCAATGAACTTCACTTTCAATGTTCAGGGACGATTAGGAACCTCTGAACTAAAGTTTTCTATTTTCTTTGTTGAAAAACTTCGTTTTGAGAGGTCTGTTGGAATTTTCGGGAATTCGAGATTTAATTCATCTTTTTTTTTCATCATAAATATCACTTGGGTATATTACAGAGTTTCAAGGTTCGAGACGGGGGACGTGTAATGCCATGATATATTTAATCCAACTTCTTTCGTCAAATTTTTTCTTTATGTTTCGTTTGAAATAAATTGTTAAATGGATTTTATATTCATTCTATTACATAGTTTACTGATACCCGTTTATTGATATACCCGCGTTCTCATGGGATATATATTTTCGTCTAAGATGATCAATCATTGTTATTTTCACAATACGCATATGTATACGCGTTTGAGAATAAAAAACGGCAAAATAACAGTCAACCGTAGAATAGAACGTAATAATCTATATTCAATTAATAATAGTCAACTGACATTATATATCATAAAACTCAGTACGTAATACAGAGGAGGATGATTGAAATAAAAAAATAAAATGTATTAATAATAAAATGTATAAATAATAAATATGGTCTTACCGTTTTTGTTATCCAGGCGGAAAGCACGATGAGCCAGTGACAGAAAATTTGTGAGTAACAAAAATTCATATACCTCAAAAATTATTACGTCATTATCAGTAATCCTTTATTAGAGTCATTGGTACAATCCGATTTGGTACAAGTGGTCTAAAATAAAGTTCATCGCAGTAATGGACAGAATAGGCGCAACCGCCTTTTTTTGGCTTATTTATTTTTCCATTCGTTCCATAACTTTTTTTGTTTGCTTTGCCTCGCTTGATCGTGCAAACGGGATGAAAACAGAAAGAGACAAAAATAAAGCACGCGAGGAATTGGCGCCAATACATATATACCCCTAATGGAAATTAAAAAAGAAAATTCATACTATATATATGTGCATATATACCGTATTCAAAAATATATAGCATACATTATACTATATATGTAATGTATATATGCACATAAATATGGTATATCCATAAATGTATATACGTATAGTATATGCGTTTGTAACTTAAATGCAGGATTCGCCGGCGCACGTTGGAAACTGGATAAGGCATTGTTTTATATTGTTTTATTTGCACAATGCGATTCACACTTTTCGTGTTATTCAGTATACCTATCTTGTTTTTCTAGTTTTTTTTGTGTACATATTTCTCTATTTCTTTTTTTTTTACCAGACAGCTTTCCGTTTCTCTAACGAAAGAGAATAGCTGTATGGCGCATGCACTGTAAAAAATTTGTATAAATTATTTTTTTTCAACAATTATTCACTCGATAATGAAGAAGTCTCCTCTTGCGAGCAGATTACACCGGAGAGTTACGAATAATATTGAGACAATTGTTTACAGCGTGCGTTTGTTTTGCATAATGAAAAATGAGAATGTGATAAGGGAGAACTTTATGAGGATTGTTTTCGATTTGTTTATATTTTCAAAATGATCGGGCAACGATTTTCCATAAGTTGGTAAAATCACGGATAATGTAAAGTGCTAATGATTTAATTAATTACTATATTCGTTTACTTATTATTTCTTTTTTTACCCTGTGTATAACCGGCAGTTTTATTTGGCAGCCAGAGCAAGATATCGAGTACGATATTTTGGGGTATTTTACTTTTTTTTTTTTTTTTTTGATAAATCACAATTTCGGAAAATATTGTAAATTTGTCCTGAATAAGTATCGACCGTGGTGAAAAAGCCTTGTCGAGTTTCCAAGCGGATTTTTGTTCTCTCACATCCATAAATCCCGCTGTTATTGTAATATGGAGATACACTTAACTCTACCGTTAATAAAGTTGTTATTTAATATTGATTATTAATTTAATTATGGATAAGTCTCGCGCGTACGCTGGCACTGACGGGTAGTTCTTTTGTGTCCCCACGAAAAATAATACGGCTCGTACAAATAAAAGACGAACGATACCTTTCCAAAATTCAAAAGAAGGCTACTGGACAGATAGAGAGAGAGAAAGAGGGCGAATAGAGAGAAATCTTACGGAAAATCGTAAAAACACGACAAAAATAGTTGGGAGAAAAATAATTTCTTTAAACAACAACTGCAACAACAACAAGAACAACAACAACGATGGCATTCATCCTCGCCAGATGAAATTTTTGAAAATCCCAAACCGCGAGAAAAATCTACCCTCCATAACGCCACGACATTACATTATATGCATATGTATATTCTGTACAGAGTTCCACTGTGAGGGGTAGTTAAAATTTTTTTCCAACCCCACTGCAGAAATGATTTTCGTGTCGCATCTGGCTTATACCAAACCAAAAATAGAGAAACGAAACGGAGAATTAATAATCCCTCGTAAATTATTATCCTAATTCACCAATGCGACATTCTCGTATCTGGTAATTTCTTATTCATTTTTTTTTACAAAGTATTTCCTTCTTTCTGTACAGTTTTTTGATTCCTTTCTTCCCACAGGAAACAATATTCGTGCTATACGGATAGCGTTATCTTGCTTTCCTCGTTCTTCGTCTTGGACTTCAAAAATTTTATTTGATCCCACAGCACAAGAGTCTGGCGCATACAAATTTTTATTTACATATTTTGTTCTTTTTTATTTTCTTTCACCTTGGGTGATTCTATTTATTTTCTCACATATGACACACCAAACACGTCACCGTATTCTCGTTTAGGGATTTTCATGTTCTTGTTTTCTCTCTTCCGCTTCTCATGCTAGTGGAACTTTTACATGCGCCAGTAGTTTGTCGCCGAAAAATTCACAGTAATTCCTCGTCGTCCAGTACACCGTACATTTGGGGACGACGCTCTGGCTCCTTCTGCTGAATTCCGGGTGGCTGCTTCCGGTTCTGCAAGAGGGCGACACTGGCTGCCTTGTAATTAATCGGACCATAAGATCGATAGTCCACATCGGCGTAATCCAAATCCGAGAATTCCGGCTTGAAGGGCTGTACGGTCATTGGTTGTTTTTTTTTTTTGAAAAAAAGAAAAAGAAATTATCACTTACAACATCCAATAATTTCTTTTAATCATAATATATTTTTTATGCTGTATTTCGAGTATGACCACACTCTATATAAGAAGATGTAGACAACATAAAATAATGCAAACTGCCATTATATATATATTTTTTTCGTAATTAATATTTTATACAAATTCAAATTTTAGGTGAAATTTTTGCAGAAGAAAGTATTTTTCTTTTACTCAAACTCGGATTTGATTGGATTCTATAAGCAATATCGTTTCTCCGCCTACAAATCTCTAATATTTCACACGATTAAACTGACTTTGATATATTGTCCCTAATAGATCTAGTAACGGATACTGTCGTGGAATAAGGAACATTAAACCCTTTGTTAAATATACAGTCAACTAATAATTTAATTAGCCCCTCACTCTTGGAGAGAGTAATGATATTGATAGTCACGTGTTTGTATGGTTGACGGTTAATCAGGAGGCTAACAAAATGTTTTTAATTAAAAAACTTTTTCCTTGTATTTTAATTATTTACAATTTTGTAATAAGTAGTAAGTTTCAACAGAAAATATGTTATTGACGTTTAAAAACAAGTATTTCACAACAACATGTTCAACGGATTTAGTTTCTCTTGTTAAAATTATGTCTCAACTATACATAAATTCTATAGTATTATACAACAGTTATGTCAAAGTTGTCACAAGCGTGATAAATGTATTAATGGAGGTTTAATGAATCTAGAGAGGTAGAAATGTCTTTAAAACTTGTATGATTTTCAAATTACAAAAGAGTTTGACTATTAAACTAATTAATCAGATGCTAATTTTATTTATTCTATACATTAACATTGTCTTGGATAAACATCGAATCTAAAATGATTGATTAATTTTTCCAAGTCAAATTCGAAAGCTATTGTCTTTCAAAGCAAAAGCACGAAGAATGATAATTTTGCAAAAAACGCGTGATCAATGATTAGCAAACACTGCAAGTAACCTAATTCATCGTGCACCGTGAGGTGAGAAACATTTATCGAAAAATTATCCTACCTGTCCACGAAGAATTTTAGACTGGAAAGAGAACTTAAAATTTGTTATTTCGCAAAGCTTCATACGTGACGCAATTTGTAATTAACTAATGTGAAAAGAGTGAGCGTCTAGAAAATTCTTTAAGATGTAAAAATTCGCAAATAATCCCAAAATATTTTGCATTGCGTCCAACGAATGCATCTCTCTGTTATCCGTTTCTCTCTGTACTAATAAACAAAGAAACCCGAACAGGAATAATGACGGTGTGATATTTGAATAAACAATTTTGATTCTAGATCGGAAAGTATATAACTGCAGGAAATTTATATACATATGTATAAGCATGAAAACGTAAGTGAAATTCTGTGTATTTCAAAAATTGCCAAAACGGTAAATTTTTTAATTATTTCATTCAACCAGGAACTTTGTCACGGTTCATTATAATTATTGCAAAAATATTTTTGCAATATATTTGAGTATTCGCAAATATGAGGTTCTTAGGAGGCTCTAACTTACAGAATTCTTTTGATATCATTCATATAAATATTAATGCCTCAAACGACTATACATAATTTAAAATAAGGATCAAAAACGATGTCTCCAAATTCAATCATTAAGATTGACGATACACATATACAATTCCCAATGGGACTTGTAAAAGAAAAAAAAGTAAATCAGACAAATCAGCTCCATTCTCTATACTACAAAGCTCGCAAAAAATGGCATGTTAACAAGCATAGCCCACCAGCAGAATAAAAAGGAATAAGACAGAAAATCCAAGAAGATCGTTATACCAGATAACAGAGTCCTAAACCAGTCATGGCTCATAAGAAAAAAAAAAAGAACGTAAGAGCGACAAAGATAGATAAATAGATAGAAAAGAAAAAAAGAAAAGGAACAAAGGACATCATAACCGTACCTATATAGATTAGACAGAGAGAGCCCTAGTTCTGTGCGAGACTTTATCAATGAAGTCTTCTAGTAAATGTACGTATCGCTCATAGCCAGTCGACCTTCCTACAAACAGACAGTTAAGAGATGATAGTAAGGGTGGGTCCATTCAGGTTAGGAGGGGCTCATGCAACAGTGCACGAACATGTGTGTTGCGTTAGTAGGTTATGTGCAGACCATAGAAGACTTGTGGCTCTTTCGAATATAGGTACCGGGATTTCATTGGAGCTGTGGGTGGGTATGAGGTGGTAGCTCTGAAGTTGGATTATTTTACCTATGGGGTCTTAGAGTCAAGCTCACGCTATAAGGTTAGGTCTGCGCATACTGCTACCTGGGAGTTCCTTGCCTATTGTAGCTCACAATGCTGTCCTCTAGCGTCCTGGTTTAGGGGTGGCTTTGGAGGATGGTCTTTTGAACATAACTCTCTCTTGGTACTGTGAGCTCCCATTAGGAAGTGGCTGTTCTCTCTATGTGTATATATACATATATATGTACATACTAGGGTCTCCCATGTACATTTGTGTTTGTATATTCGTTTATGGCTGTTAAGAGTAGTATAAAGTAGGGGTTGGTTGGTTGTTTCCAGAATGGCCCATCTTGAGAGGAAGGATACGGAAATGAATTATCTGCGGAATTTCAGGGATTTTGGATTCAATTGCACAATGTGATACTTGGTCGTGAATATCAATGAGTTAATTTGTCGCTGGTGATTCCGACTTTTGACGTTGTTCGAATTATTCGAGAAAGTTATTTCTCCGGAATATCCTGGCGTTCGTATGTTGTGCCATGATGGTTCGGCTTTTAGGCATGACGTAATGAAGCATGTGAGCGTGTCGCATGAGTGCGTCGTGACGAAGAAAAGTGTTTGTATATTTATAAAAGTCGAGACGAATCGTTGAACGAGGCATATTGAAATTTATGATAAAAATGAATTTGCGGATACGGGTAGAATACTTTCATCGGTTTGAGTTTGAAAACGGTCCACTTGTGAAATTCGTTTTTTACGCTGCTATGAGTTACTAAGGATAAAAAGTTTTTTTCTACTTCGTAAACTAGAATTTAAAAAAAAAGTAATGATACAGCAATAAGTGAAATTAACAAATACTCCAAAGACTAACTATACTTATATTTTTAGAGTCAAAAATAAAACTATAAAAATCCCATCAGAATGTCAAAACACGCGAAGTCTTTTTAACGCCATAGATACAACCATAAAATTACCTGACGTAAGTATCAAAAATAAATAAATAGCACCATATCACCACCATCACCACTACCATCTACTAGAATCAGGTTCTACCATCTAATGTAACCTGTGCCCAGGTGTAATGAAACGAAAGAAATAGAACAAAGGAATTCCCTAAAACTGAAGTGTCTGACCCAGATAAGGAAGGTATCCACTGGTTAATATCCCTACCTTCAAACGTCGATCTCCTGACCGACGTCCCGAAAGTGAAGCTCGGCGTACTGCGTGCTACTAGGTGGTGCCGAGGGTGGTCTAGTATCCCTTAGCGCCGAATACCGTTTCCCTTTACGAGATTTTGCCAGATTCAATTCGGCGTAATGAAGGGGGGTCTGATGATTAATCATCCGATTGCTATTGTCTCTAGGGGGTGTTGGATTTCTCACAGGATAATCAGTGGGGCACTCGGTAATGGCGTCCTCGTAATAATGTGGATACAATATCTTGTAGCTCTCTGGTATACCAAGATCTTGGACCTGATTGAAGCTGGTCTCCCTTGAGAATCCATAAGGGCCGCTGTTACCGGCACTAACGGCACTCTGATGATGATGATTGCTAGTCGTCGTGTTCGTGGTGATGCTGGTTATGTTCGTCGCGTTATTATCACTCCTCGAGCGTCTCTTAACCTTCCTATCATGTCTGTCATGTTTGTTGCGATACTTCCGGCGCTCCTGTCGTCTGCGACCGTTACTAGAGTTTTGCTGATGATGCTGTTGTTGCTGATCTATTTGTTGATGATGATGAATATCTTCCATCTCACTTTGCACCAGGGATAATGGCGGTAGGGTTGTGCTACCATCGTTCAATAGCCTATTGCCCATCAGGGAATGACGATGATTGTTAGTCTGGGTGAATGAGGGCTGCAAGGGACTCACTACCGAGGAATGATGGAGACTTCGTGTTAGTGGCAGGGTTAGCTGACTCGAACTGCTGCTCGCTATTGGATAACCGTATTGCTGCATCTCCTGGTGTTGCTGGTAATGTTCCTGGTAGTTGTATAGGCTGTTCGTCTGGAACAGGCACCGTTAGTCTCCTGGAGCGAGGATTAGGGTCTTGTTAGTACAGGTTCTTTCAATTTATTTAGATTAGTTTCTTTTTCCATTTACTTGTTAACGTACAGTAGGCTACTCGTGTGTCTCTTTGATACGTGTTAGTTATTTTACTGCAAGTTGACCTTATATTGGTGATTACGTCTATTGCTATTATTCAATCAACTTATAAGACATCTTCGGAGGAGTATCGTAAGGTAAGTCAGATTGCTAATTAAACGACGTCGAATAAGAAAGGCTCCTTCTTAACGACAGGAAGGTATATCGAGTCGATTCGTATCATGTTAAAGACCACGAATTCTATGGTGAAAGGTTGGACAAATTTTTATCAACGAAATAATAATTTCCGCGTGAAACCCACTACCATATTCCCTAGACTTTAATTTACGCGCATACGAGAAAATTGTAACGCTTAACTTTGCAAAAACTTATACGAATATCTACCATATGTGATTTTGCGTAATCAGTATGTGTATCTGTGTAACTTTGTGTATGTGACTTACTTGAGGCGCGGCTCACATGCACTAAGGCCGTCGCTACATAGATGCCCGGATCCAGCTTAGCAGGGAAAACACGATTTCCGATTAAAACCCGGCATCGAGCCGCTCTCTATTTTCTCCTACTTTCTTGTGGGTGCTGTGTTACATCTAATGGACGACACTCATGTATAAACGTGCAAGTTTTAATTTATTAGGTACTGTAGGGGCGGAGAGAGATGTGGGCGGCTAATTAATTGGAAACGCTATATATTGCATCGAGTGAGCGCGGGGACACTGATTTTTTTTTGTTTTGGCAAAACATAATTTTTGAAAAAAATATCTAACGCTTTTGTTTTCTTTTCTTTTAATACACATTTCTGTAAAGCTTGTGTCATTTTCGAAATACATATCACAAACTTACTGAATTTCGTAACAAGGTATAGATACAAAAATCTCTAGACTTGTGATAGTGTCCCGGCGCGAAGAAAATTGGCAAAATAAGGTGATTGAGCATTAAAAATATTAGTAAGCGACAAACCTTGATATTACGAAGCGCCAAGTTTTTCATTGGAAAAACAGGAGGTGGAACGTTTTGGTAGGTATGACGGGAGGGATCGGTTTTCCTCGTTCGTGGTGCTGGCGTAGGTGGTAGCACAGTCGACGATTCATTGAGAAAATCCCCAGACACGTTACTGATACTCATCGTAGAATTAGGCACATCCGATTGAGCGAGATTGGATATACCCGCGATGCTGGTTCTCGTGATGGTGGAAGTGGGACTGACCTCGGATGACCTTAAGGTAGTAGCAATGGTACTGGTACTGGCATTCTTATGAGGACAGCTTTTGTAAATCGGTATGGCGTACAGTTGGTAATTCCTGTGCGTATTCTGATGTCGTCGACACAATCGTAATGAGTAAAATTGAGCCTTATGCTTCCGTCTGCGTGGCTTCAGCGTGTTGTATCGTGGTTCCGGTGAATTGTTCCTCGGCATGTTATTGGGACTGTAGTGGGGACCCAAGTGACTTCGGGTACTTCCGTAACCGGAACTACCGGGCCAGGGGCTGGTGTTCCTCGAGGACGATGAGGTCATGGTGTTCGGACTCGAGCGCAATGTGCCATGCAAAGCCGAAACTCGAGCAAACTTAGGGGATACCAACTAAAACATGTAATGTCCAACTACCTGTTATAGGGTAGCTAGCTTACCTGGTCATTTGAATGGTGATTTTTTTTTATCAATTCTTTTCCTGAATCACAGATAGACACTAGGTATTTTTCTTAGGAACTTAACTTCCTTTTTTTCACAAAAATGATCATACAAATATCAAAGCGTGACTAAATCGTGAAACTTTGCGTCCATAAATTTAATGAATTAAATTTTCTAAAATCCCTAGTGGCCTCTCACATCCAGTCTGATCCTTTTTGGCTCTGGTCCTGGCCTCCATGGCAGCCAATATCAGCTAATGGCCCGCACGGATGCACAGGAATATATTCTGCAATGATTCTCCGTCGAATGCAATACCCTTTCTACTGTACCCTGTGACAACCCTCTCAGCCATTTTCGCTATTTCGAATCGATCGTTCCGTGTAGCGCATCGGGCGTTACGTCACTTGCGAATGTAGATTATATCGCATGTGCAGTTGCTCAATTTAAGAGTCACGTTTGACACACTTTTTGACGTTTGATTCACAATTACATTTTCTCTAATATATGATAATCGGAAATACCATCGAGGAAAATACTCCTTGAAATTGAAAATATGAAATATTCTCAAAATATATCCCACGTCCAAATACTTATTGGCGCAGAGAGAAGGATATATGTCACAGAGTACAGATCCAATCGCAAAGCCCGTGGTTTCTGATGAAATTTTGAAAATTGAGTTAAGACCTGTCTTGGATGAAGACTTTAAGGGTGGGAAGCCTCTGTACCGTGCTCAAGTAAATTCTCTGAGGGGTGACGAGTGGGAGGTGAGACGTGGTACGAGAATGATCAGGTTCGTGGAAAGGGGTAGTGGCTGTTCATAGGACCAGACATTAACATAACCCTCCTCGAGCTCTTTGGAGCTCTCAAACCACGAGGTCAGAGCTTGCCGCGGTGGTGCACCTCTTCACTTTTACTACACCCTTAGCGAGACTCGTGCTCTATGCGGTTTCCATCCCGGCACGCTCCTAGGACTGCAACCCTCTTTCCATTTCGAAGCTCCACCCTTGTAATACGATTATTTCACGGTGGCTTTACTCCCGGCTCGAACCACTCTCCTGTCTCACCACTCATGCCGATCTCTTCCATGCTGGTCTCTTCCGTCTCACCAAATCAACCCTTCCTTGTTCTCTTAACTACTTCTCTATTAGGCAGCGACATGCTACTTTGAGTGATCCCAAGTGACGCTATAACTGAACATTCCACTGGTCCTAAGGGCTTTGCGATTTATTATGGGAAATACCTCTATGGCCGTGGGACCTTTTTTCACGTTCAATTCTCTGGACTAAGCACAAATGCATTCACGACACGTATTAAAGGGTAATTTTAAAAAATGTGATAAAATAATATTAATTAATTATAACACTCGTTGATAAACAATCATGCCTTGAGAATATTGTTTAAAAAAGCGAGAAAGCGATTTGGTTGTTGTTTTTTTATAATATCGCATTCTTCGTGTAACTGGCTTGAAATTAATTCTAGTCTCACCTTATTTGGTGGCGTCTGAATTCCATGAAAGGGCAAATTCTCGTAAAAGGTTTTCGTCTCGGGTTCCGGAAGTCTTTCCGAAACGCTGTCCACGTGGTTATTGTTCGCTGCCTGATTGGGATCTGTACATACGAAAATAATATTTTAGGTAAAATCTGAAAGTGTCTATATTGGAAAAAGTATAGTGACGCATGATTATTAAGAATTGGGTGAAATTATAGGGACTTCCATTTGCACTTTTGTTGCTTCACCTTTTCTGTAATCCCATTCTCTCAGGGACGAACGAATTACAGAAATCTGTTGGCGCAACATTGTTGAATGAAATAAATGATTTTCAAAGTTGTCCACTGATAAGTCTAGCACCTGAGTCCTATTGATTTAACACGGGTGTTACGAAAGAATCATGAAGGGAACAAAAAGTGTCACAGTAATAAAATAGGATACTTTTTAGATTTTGTTCATGTTTATAAATCGTTTCTGCATTTTGATTCTCATTTCGATGCACATTCACAAGCTATAATAATCGAGCAGAACTGCATCTCAAAATAGCATACATTTTGAACGTGTATGGATACTCTTGAAAATATGGAAATTTACTTTTTAATTTATAATAGTTAAAGTGTGAAAAAATATTATATATCGAATCCAAGATGCTGTTCCGAAAATCATATTAATAAGAAAATATACATTCGTTAAATTTGTCTGCCTTTGTTCTCAAGAGTCTCCCGCTTTGTTATGCGTGCCTAGTAAAGTCTGATTTGCTACGTACCTGCACCAGGTTTCTTACGCTTACGCGAGACTTGGCAGTTCTTCTGTAGGGAATGCTGCGCTATAGGTGCATTGTGCATTGTCCGGGGTGCAATTCTCTTGTAAGTCACGGCTGACGAGAACACAGAACATGAACAAATGTTCACAGACAAACACATAAAGCCAATTTCATGCACTTAGCTGACCGCATTGTACAGCGGCACCAAAAAATATAAACATAAAAAGAAATGAATAAAAGAAGCATGTAAATTAGAAATTCAGTTCAATTAGGTTAGGTTAGGTTCATGAAGTAATGTTAGGAAGAAAATTAATCTCTTGCTTGGCAAACATCAAACAGTGATTCTTGTATCCTAATCAGTTATTTCAGTTGTTGCCACTCGTAACGCAAGTGTTCCACGCTAGACGATTGATGATTGGCTGAATAAGCTGCGGAAGGGAGAAGATAGAAATCAGGTATATAGGAGAAACGGTCACTGACTGTCTCTCTAAACTAAACTCGAAAACTGATGTTCTGGACGGTACTTGAGATTCACTCAATTGAGGATATATGACTGCATCACAACTATCAATAGGCAAGAAGAACAAAAGTGTAAATTTGTAGGATAAAATTTGTTTATTATCGCAAATGTTGCTTTTTCAGTATTATTGTCATTGCGATAAGGTAAGTGAAGAAGAACGTCGTTAATTCATTTAATATTAAGAAATAACTTCAAAATGCACGTTGAATTCCAGTATAGAAAAAAGTGTCGTCTAAAGAAGAAAATACTGAATTTTCAATTCTAGAAGTACTAGAAGTTGTACAATTTGTCTGTACTTGTCTTAAGAAGGTGCCTAAGCTCGGAGCGGTCATTCGTCCACGAGTCGGTCTCCTATAACTGGTCTCTTGGACGTTTACCCATTTCCATCCTTTTTTTCTCTATACTTATTTCTTCTTTACTTACATACTCCCATTTCTTGCGTTCCTACTCGCATATATCTTCACTTTCTTATTTCTTTATTACTTTTTTATTTTTGTACTTCTTTTCTATATTTTCTTACGAACGTTCCCATCCAATCCCATTTTCTAAATATTTTCGGATTCTGTTTAATATTATTTTCTCTCATCCGTTTTCTTTCTTTCCAAATCCTCTTACCTTCTTAATATCAAATGAATTAAAGACGTTCTTCTCCACTTACCTTAACGCAAGGACAATAACGCTAAAATAGCAACATTTGCGATAATAAACAAATTTCAACCTACAAGTTTACACTTATGTTATTCTTGCCTATTGATACTTGCGATGCAGTCATATAACCTCAATTGAATGAATCTCAAGTATCGTCCGGAGCACCAGTTTTCGAGTTTAGTTTAGAGTGACAGTCAGTGACGGTTTTTTCTGTGCACCTGACTTCTTCTTTTCCCTCCCGCATGCTTATTTAGCCAATCATCAATCGTCTATCGTGGACAACTTGCACTTCGAGTGACGGCAACTGAAACTACTAATTTAAATCGACGATTCGGACTACTTCCAATATTTGATTATGCTCTAAGTGATAGACTTGCAAAGTTATGAAAAGGCTCGAGAATGAGTAAAATACTATTTATGAAAGTTATTTTCTTGTGGCTCCGATTTAATTTCAAAAGGACATTTTGGATAATTCATCAATGCCCCCTTGTCACGTAGTAGTAACAGAGGACGAGAAAGGGAGAACGGCTGTCTGTATTTCTATGGAAAGTCTCACTAAACGCCTGAGAGGCTACGCTATACGCAGAAGAGAATGCGGATGGCCTGAAGCTGTTTTGCTAGGAGAATACGAGAGCAGCAAGACACCTCGAGCGTAACTGCACAGAGATGTTTTTTTAGGACGTCGGCCATAAGACTGATGTTACGATGTAACTATGAAATGCAAAACTTGGAGCGACAATTTCATGGGAATTTTCAGAATTTTTGAAAATCTTGAAAATACGTAACGTACTGGAGAAAAACATTTTTTAATCTAGTGACGTTATATTTGAATACCAACGCAGCTGACTGAGGAATCAGATTTAACTCGATCGCGTTTCTTGAAGAGCTGTGGTGGCATACCTATAACCCCTAATGTAATGTTAAGGGATTTAAATCTGATTCCTCAGTCGACTGTGGTATTTAAATTTGACGTTACTGGATTAAATCCCTTAACAGTACATTAGGGGTTATAGGTATGCCACCACAGCTGGTCAAAAGATGCGAATGGTTTGAACTCGATATGATTCCGTCACTATTCTTTATGTCAAAAGTACTAATCTGATAATTTTCAATTTCAAAAGGTAGAATTAAAGGACATGAACGGGTAGAATGAAAAGGATCACATGAAGTACCGACGATTAGATTATCTTCATAGGATCACAAGGCGAATACCTAACAACCCTTACCTGTCTTTTCCCTGGAGATGCCCGGAAACGTGTCGGGTTCCTTCATTTGTCCAGCAAACATGGCTCTTATCCTATTGGCTCTTGCCAACATTCCCTCATCATGCACACCGGACATGCTCAGGGCTCTCTGGTTCTCGTCTTTTCCGCGTCGAAACGGCCGCACCGGCCGTCGATTTCTTACTTGACCAGAATTTTCACGCGTCCCCATTACCGATACCACTGATCGATATGAATCGGCTTCATCAATGGGTACACGGGTTCCATGCCGCGTTTCGTTCCCACGAATAGTCAAACCAGATCGAAGACTGTGCGTGCGATTTATGTGCACCAAGACGCCTGGCTTCAGTGGCCATCTTGGTGCTGGAGTCGGCAATGCTGGACCCTGAGTTGAATGCGATGAAGCCGTAGGACTTGGGGGACCGCCTTCGGGACTGATCGAAAGATATGCACTACAGTTACTAGTGTATGAGCAAATTTAGTATTTCTTTTTTCATTATTTTTCTTTTTCGATAGACAGTACTCAATTAAAAAATAGAAATGGAAAATGGAATTTCATAAAATTTTTTTTATTTAAACCGTTTATCATAGTAATTCAATTTGTTTTAATGAAGTTACAGTGCAGTTGAGTGCTCTCAAAAATAATTTCTACTTCAGGTAAGTTATAGCAGTACGTGTTCCAAATCAACCCCTAACAACATTTTTTTTTTGTTATTTAAAAAATATCCAGTTTATTGAAGTATGTGAGTGCATTAGATAGTTCTGATGTGTCCCATTCACCTTTAGAAACTAGCTGTGCATTTTTGTTATAACAACCTCAGAGTTCGGTGTTATTTGTGAATTTGAAGGAATTTTGCAGTATATAAAATAGAACTTATCAAAGTATATTAAGATATAAGAGTTTATCAAATTTTACAAAGTATGATAAATTCTAATTAAGAGATAAAAATGATCTAATATTTTCTAAGGATAGACATTTTTTCTTTACTAAGGGTCACCTACGTCATTTCATGGTTTGCTGCTCAACTCGTTAATTCTCACTTTTAATACGAACATCCCCATTTCTAGTCACATCCTTTTTCCAAGGATTATTAAACCCCCATGGCACGTAGCATACTTTTTTCAAAAGTGTAGTTTGCTCTCTTACCTTAAGGGATCATCACAGTGTAAAATTTTCAAAAAATTGATTTTTTTGTTTTTTCTTTATCTGATAGTATACACGGTTATAAATATTCTGTCCGATTTTTATGTCGAAATTCGAATTATTTCGGTCGCTACAGTCTTTTTCAGAAGAAGGGATTAGACGGTTATACCTGGCGCACTCCGATGTTTAAACGCGTTTTTCTCGGAATGGTGTTTTTCAAAACGGTGGCCACTCTCAAGGAAGAATTTTCAGGCTATCCATTTGAAATTTTAACAGAACATTCTTGACGTCATTTCTTATGTTGCTATGGAAGCTTTTTTCTTTATTTTGAAATCTTCCTATTTTTTTTTTACGAAAAACTGTCGAAAAAAAGGCTAAATTTTATATGTTTTGTTCAAACCGACGCCATTTTTTCAAATTTCACTAAAAACAAAAAAGCCTCCATAGGAGCATAGCGGCTTTCTTACAGATTTATGAACCATTTGAAATTTTTGTTTGAGGTAAAATTTGCGCCCGCAATCCTGGCCACCATGGGACACCATTTTTTTTCAATTCAATTTTCCACACATAAAAGCAACGTTAAACAATACATAAAGAATGTTTAAATAATCATTTTGTATATTTCATAGGTGCTTCAATTTGTAAAAAAAAATTAGACCGATTAACTTATTCCATCCACCTAAAAAAAAATTGCGAAAATCGGCTATTTTTCGGGCGGTCACACTGTGATGATCCCTTAAATAAGATGGGACGCGCAAGATGAAAGCGTTTGGGGGGATGATTGACAGAGTCATAATTCAATTTTCCACACATAAAAGCAACGTTAAACAATACATAAAGAATGTTTAAATAATCATTTTGTATATTTCATAGGTGCTTCAATTTGTAAAAAAAAATTAGACCGATTAACTTATTCCATCCACCTAAAAAAAAATTGCGAAAATCGGCTATTTTTCGGGCGGTCACACTGTGATGATCCCTTAAATAAGATGGGACGCGCAAGATGAAAGCGTTTGGGGGGATGATTGACAGAGTCATTGTTTAAATCGAGAAAAAAATGGTATAAAACTTTTCAAGATCGATCGGGTATACGAAATTGCTTTGGACCCACCCTCACTCGACTGATGCGTTTTTGAAAAATTACGAAAACTTTCATCAATTTATTAAGACTTTTGCCGTATTATTACGGCTATCATGCCCTCGGGTTTATAACATTTCACCAGTGAGAAAAAAATTAGACGTTCAATGAAAAATTCATTAAAAAAAAAAGCCTTGTGAGCCCGTGCTATATCTTACCTCTTGTATCCGTTAAATGTCCAACATGTGTTTCTTAATTTATATAGCATAATTGAATTTTTCGAAATATGATAACGTTCACTTGGAATTAAGCATAAAAATGTTTTGCAAATGTAAACGAAGAAAAAAAAATTAAAATTATCGAATTTTCGAAACTTTTTTCAACGTGCAAATCTTACACCGGGTGGGAATTTTTAACGGTGATGTTTCCTTAATGTTTTTATATTTTTAAAACATTTGTACAATTTGGGACTGTACGGTAGCAATGCAATTACTTCTACTCGTGCAATATGTCTACATTGTACAAATGTGCAACGTGCGTAAGCTGTGTCGCAAGATTAAAAAAATACCCCAAAACAAGCAGACAACTACAAAACAGATTAAATATGGAAAAAAAGGTACTACATTAAAATAAGGTGTACTCAGGGAAAAAATAAGGAATTGATTTTCTGTTCAACTAAGCGAATATGCTGTAAAATAAATGAGGTACTTACTGTTCACGTTCTTCCAACTCGACCACCCGGTTATTGTCTGGTTTCATTTGTTTGTTTGTTTTTTGTTTAGTAAGTCCAAATTAAAAAGCAAAACAGAAACAAATAAGATCGTGTTAGTGACGTTGGCTAAGTCACGCGACACGCGCTGAGAATTTCTGGAAAAGTTCTACTAATATTTGGTAACAATTTTTAGATGAATTTTTAAATCCCTCTTTTTTTTGTATTAAATATTACCAGAGAATCAAGTATATAAACCGTGAAGAAATTCCCTCGCGTGCTGACGCGCAATTCATGCTTAATATACCTAATTGTACTAATTTCGTATTTACGACTCAAAATAATATGTTCACTTTGCCAAAAATCAATAAAAAAAACATCACATCTACAAGAACGAAAATTTCGGTAGATACAAAAAAGGAAAATTTTGACGAAACGTGAACGTTTGTATACATCATCAGCATACGTCGCTATGTACTCCTGGATAAATTTAAAAATTATGTGAACAATTAAACTTTCAATGCAATATGACCTTGAGGAGACATTCCAGTTGAGTACCGAAAAAAAATAGTTTGTTAAAAATGTGGAAACAAAATTTTGAATTTCAGTGTCATCTTTTACATATTCTTCCTCCCCCTCTGTCCCTCCCGTTCCTTCTTCACATATGCAGTCGAAATCTTTAATTCAAATAAAAGAAAAAAAAATAACCATATCAAGCAACGTGCAGGAGAAACTCCGGTCTATCAGGAATTGGTCTAAGAATAACCAAAGTCGTGAATATTATTATCTCCCTGAGAAAGAAAGAAAAATCCCATTCTGCGATCGTTCCCTAAATTTTGCCAATTTCAATTCTGTCTCGTAACACGGCTAACTTATAATTTATAAAGTCAAAGTTCGCAAAGCGTGTATGTATAGCTCAGCCATCGACGGGACTTCAGAGGCACGCGGGAATCAATTCGTCATTCTGTCGTATTTTACTTACTAGAAATCGCGAGAGGCAGTCGTGCACGAGCTACTACCATCGATCCCGGGTCTTTATTACGCTTTACTACCCTTCACTGTGATGACACCACTGTTAGGCGCAACAGCGACCTTTCGAACCTACAGACCCGTTCCTTTTGGATGACAAGTGAAAGCTAACAATGACCTGAGTATAATTAGCTGTCTCACTGTGCAGTTGATATTTCGCGTGCTATGTCAATCTGAAAATTTTGCCAACGTTTGTTTTTGCACTACACCCAAGTAACCATTGATCGCCCAAAGTACAGAAATTCGCCAGGCTAAGTTTTGCGTAGACGCCGTCATTAAAAGTTCGAAATTCTCAAATCCAAAGGCACTGGATAAATACGACCCACACTGTCGGTAAACATGGACTATGTATAGAACTATGATTACGTAAATCAACAATTCGGTTAACTAGCAGTTTCGCGGTATTGAGCATCTGTTACTGCGGGACTTAAGTCGAAAATACTAATTAGAAGCCAACCCGAGCATTTAGTACATACGTTAAGACTAATTTTCCAAAAACTTTATCTGTGGGATCTAATGAAATCTTTAGAAGTCAACAGATACTATTACTACATATGTATGTATATATATACCATTTAAAAAAAAATAAACCTCAGATGCAACAGTACTCTCATGCGCAAATTGAACGGACCGAAATCTCGGCAAATTCAAGTATATTCTTTTTTGTCTTTGACGAAACGAATTTATCGAACTCGCGCTAAGTGCATGCAATAAGTCAATTCGTAGAACCCTTTCCTTTTCCTCTATTTTTTGTTCGTCTTTATGAAGAAAAGCGTTTCTTGTTTTTTTTTTTGGGGGGGGGGGGGGG